CATAACGTGTCTGACGGCATAGTCAACGAAATCCTCAGCGGGTTGACCGGAGTGGATCATGAAACCGTCGGTGAACTTCATGGACTTGGCACGAGCGGCACGAAGCTTGCCAGAGACGACAACTTCACAACCCTTGGCACCAGACTCCATAACGAAACGGAGAACACCATAGCAAGCACTAAGAAATTCAAATTTAGACAACTTTCGCACAAAGGGGATTTGTTTCGGTAAAACGCACCGACGGACAGCAAGACCACCGAGGAGCTTGTAACGGAGGGACTCGCACTGGGCGACAGCGGAGAGACCACGGTATTGAACCTTCTCAGCATAGAGTTCGAGAGAGTTTTCGGGGAACTTGAAACGCTTCTGCACGAGGGCAGTAAGCTCACGAATGCGACGACCCTTCTCACCCAATACTTCCTGGGTGTGGGTGGCACGGATGATGATCTAAAGAAACGACATCTTCAGTCGAATCCAGAGAAAGCTATACGTTCAAAAACGCACTTCGGTACGGGCGTGTGTCACACGGACATCACAGCCAGAGTAACCCTCCTCAGAGAGCTCACGGGTGAAGAAATCGTTGAGTTCGGCGCGGAAGACGCCGTCCGCGACAAACTTTCGTTTTTTGGAGATTTGGCCAGACATTTTGATGAGATTGGGGAGCTGAGGGAAGAGAGGGAGAGTAAGCGGGCGGTTCAAGGTGTAGTGTTATCCAGAGAGATCGAAGCGCATCCAGCCAATAGCAGCCATCCCAAAGCTTCAAGCTTGGGCATAGCCCAACAACGAGTGCCATAGTGTCGAGATACATACCTTTTGATGTGTAGCTTGCGAGTCCTCGACGCCGGGAGTCTTGACGGCCTTGTGGTCTTTACCTCTGACTACAACCAGCTGCTTCAGACTTGGGCGCCTCTGGGAATTTTCCACATTTGGAAACAGCGTTAGCGATCGACCAATCACAGGACAACATGAAGGCGCTGGGATGCTTTCTCGCTTAAAATGCGACTTTTTGCTTCTGAACCCGTACCATCACTGACGATTCCTCCTTCACTATGCTCTGTTCCCGCACCTAAATTCTCTGCCTACAGTTCTGCCACATAGAATCTTCTTCAATCGGTGAGTTTCTATGCATTCATTCCTTGCTACTCGCTGTGAAGAGTGTTGAATTATCAACCGTAACTGGCACCTCTTAGTCGACATGGTACGCTGTTCTTGAGCTTTTGCTCTCCAGCGTGCATCTGACATGAATGGCTTTCCTGAGCGTTCATTCATTCAAACCCCTTTTTCTCTACATCTGCTAATCACCCTTTTTAGAACCTTCTGGTCCTCGACAAAACCAAGCCGTGTTTTTCCTTTCCTTGTTTTAGACGTCGATATCTTTGTATACCATATCAATTCAATGTATATGCTCCTTATTTACATGTTACAGTGGCCGGGCTTCGTTCACAAAGATCGATGCACCACCCATCCCGCTTCCAATACACATACTCGTGCATAAAATCTTTGCGTCTCGCCTGCGCAGTTCAGCGAGTCCTGTGACAACCTGGCGCGTTCCAGCTATGAAAGTGTTATCAGTCAAAGTGAATCCGATGAAATTAAGAAATATGCCTACTCATTCCTAGAGGATGTGTGAGAGCGATAGCTCCACCACTGAATACCAGTCAGACACGGAAGGACGACGAGTAACGATCGTATACTTACTTGGGGTTAATTTTCGCCATTGGGATCGCCAATTCTTGTACGCAATACGCAAATTGAGAAGCAAAAGCTTCGTTGATCTGGATACATGTGAGACGCGTTTGGACTGGAGCCGAAGATTAAATACGAAGACATACCTCATAAATATCAACGTCCTCTTTCTTCAAGCCCGTCTGTTCGAGAATCTTCGGGATCGCAAATGCTGGGCTAATACCCATATACCTGGGCTCAACACCAACGAAAGTACTTGCAACCCATTTCCCAAGAATCTCCATGCCTTTTCGTTCCGCATTTGACCTAGTGGTGAGTATACAGATAGCTGCGCCGTCGCCCACACCACTAGCATTTCCAGCAGTAGTGGTTGAGTTGCCCCAGTCAGGGAAAACTGGTTTCAGCTTGGCCAACGACTCCATCGTCACGCCAGGGCGAATGGTATCATCGACAGATATTGTCTGACCACGAATCTCCACTGGGAGGATTTCTTGTGCATATATCCCTTCAGAGGAAGCCTGGTAAACCGTTGTCAGTCTGTTGGATTGCTCAAGTTTCAGGATGGCTAACCTTTTCCGCACGACTATGGGAGATGAACGCATATTGGTCCTGCATTTCTCTAGAAATACCATATGTCTCGGCAACCATCTCTGAAGTCCAGCCCATAGGCTGAGTATCATACTATGAGAAAACAGTATCATGATATTGTTGAGAATTGTTCACGAACCTGAGTGCAATCATGAGCTTTTGGGTTAGACCCGACCGCTTCAACAACCTCGGGTGTAGGTCGAGCACTGGAAACATAACTATCAGTATTGCGATATAGCTGAACGGTGAGTAGAAGCGTACTTCAAGGTCATACTTTCCACTCCCACAGCAACACCGAGCGTTATTTCGCCCGCCTGAATGGCGTGGGCAATACTTCGGATCGACTGCAAACCTGAGGAGCATAGCCTGTTCACAGTCGAGATGGGTACCTCGGCTGGGATACCAGCAGCAAGAGCAGCTGCTCTCGAGACGTATAATGGAGAAGGGGGATGGCAAGTACCTGTGGTTTGCGTTAATCGGTCGTAAATGTATTATTAGCATTGTGCATGATACGAACCAACGCAAATGTCCTCAATGGCCGCAGGGTCCAGTTTAGCTTTCTCAAATGTAGCCTGCACATAGAAATATCATGATGTTACCGTGGTCAAGTACTGTAAGGAACAATTGGGGAAAATCTCACTACCTTGAATAGTGCGTGCATTAATTCATCCACAGGGACGTCTTTCAACTGTCCCTTCCGCACTTTCCCCATTGCAGTTCGCTTAGCAAAAGTGACAACCACATCGTCAGGGTTCTTCTCGAGAATAGCAGAAAGTCCTCGAGCTTTAGATGATAGAGTTCGGGTGAACTTGACTGGACGTGAGCAGGTCCTGATTCTCGAAAGCATCATGTCAGTAAGGGCAACGTAGAACTGAGACGACAACGTCGGCCTAAGATGGACGTTAAGTGTAATGCCAACGTCAGTTTATATAGCCTCAGGTATGTCTCAACATGCTAGGCTTCGGCAGACCGTATATGGGGAGAGGTTCCCCACACGAACGGTGGTATTTGCGGGTCATCGTACGCGACAAGTCTGGTGACCGTGCGCTTGTCTATGGGCCGATCAATTCTACGTTACAATCCGACCAAGGTTTCTTTGAGTTCGTTTATAGCATGTAAATATTAGGTGTACTATGCTTCCTACGTTTGGTCCTGCAGTACGTACAGTCATGAATCACATTGACAAAAGTAAAGGATCATGTTCCTCCATGATGCTCATTCACTAACAAATGCGTATCTGTATTAATGCTGTATGGTACAATACGAGGATCCGGGGTAGCTTCGTTGGACGTTGTAGCTCAGGAAGCGATATTAGGCTCTAATGCGCCCTGCATGTAGTTGAAGGCACAAGAGTGAGCAGTAAGTGCGTGTACCTCTACAAAGACGCAGCTGATATATCAGGTTAGAATGTTACAATAATGTCACAGTTATTGGAGACGTACTGTCGAAGGAATGTCATGATTCGACATCTTCTTTTGCTTTGGATTTCCACCCTCGACTGAGGCCAGAATAACAGCTTGCACACAGATGGTGAGCTAATTTTGGTGTACCACAAGCCGGACACGCAACAACATCTAAGACACAATTGTATCAGTCATGAGACTCACAGCTAATCCACGTAGATACGTACTTTGCTTATCCTTCAAGCCTTTGTTAGCACTTCGCATGGCTTTCCTTGAGTGCGAAGTCTTCTTCTTTGGCACAGCCAATACCCATGGCGGAAGGAGTTCTAGGAGGGTCTGTAACGAAGGTGGTGCCAAGGTGAACGGCTTCGACGCAGCCCAGGCACTGGGTAATAATGTTGCAGCGAGGAATCCACGAGCGAATGTTGTTCTGAGTGGTGAGAGAGCACCTCTCACTTGCGAAAGTGCCAGAGATGCCATGGTGTAGGAAGGAAACAAGTTCGATCGAATGAGCGTCAACGGAATACGAAAGCATCAAAGGAGACGCTCATCCCACCTTCAAGCCATTCAACGACCATCTCCGAGGTCTACCGCCACTATCACTATAATGTTTCGTCTAACACGCCCTCTCTTCTCTCAAGTCCTCAAAACTACGACCGGTATCACTGGTCTCAAAGTTCACCCCAACCCTCTTCCGGAGTTGAAGAAGACTTATCAATCCACTCTCACCGCACTTTCGACTATCCCCGAGACGTCTGTCTATCGTCAGGGTGTTGAAGCACTCACACAACATAAGCTGAAGATTGTTGAGGGCGCGAATGGAGACATTCAGGCTGTGGAGAAGCAACTGGACGAGGGCCAGATCGAGGAGTCGATAAACATTGCTCAGGACGAGCTTAACCTCGTTTCCAAGATGGCTGAATGGAAAGCGTATGTTTATCTCTGTTTCAACACCCTCGTCACCTCTAACCCTCTGAATCTCCATTCTCAGGTGGGAACCGCTGGAAGAGAAGCCAGAACCTGGTCAATGGGAATACTTTGGCAAAGCTGTTAACGCATCATCATAACTCTAATATACGGATGGTGTACGCTTCACTCGCTATGAAATATTTCTAAGCTTACTTGTGTGATGATTGTTTAATTTGGTCGACGTTCTGCATAAATAAATGAGGGCTAATATCGCAGTGAGACAATGCTGTCTCCTAAGAACTTCGCATGTTTAGTTAGTGATTATGTACTTTTCTGATGTTGTCAGTGCTGGTAGTTTACATCGTGTACAGAATTCGCTGTAGTGAGTGCCAAAAGAAGAATCTCTCGCGTAATCGCTGACAGCAGGATTTGAACCTACGCGGGCAATGCCCAAGTGATAATGGAACCTAAATTCAAATCACTCGCCTTAACGACTCGGCCATATCAGCATGAGAGAGCATGACGTAAAAGAATGACACAGTCCCAAGGGGCAGGGATTTATTTTCACCATCGTGACGCAGTACGGTATACCTAACCACTCAATTATACACCCCCACAAATTCCAACTTGATATATCTTTAATTTACTTCTCTTACATTCTCTCAACCTGCAATGGATTCTCTTATACCATTCACAACATCTGGATCACTAGTTGATTGCGTCGACAGTACGTCTGTCTCAAGCACCCTCGCCATCGACTCTAAGCCTACGATGATTGTATTCGCTTTGTCTCTCTGTCATTTCCCCACTTCCACAACTCGTAGGGAAGATGCTTGTGGTCCTGAGGGATGGACGGAAGCTTCAAGGCGTCCTTCGCTCCTATGACCAGTTTGGTATGTCGTCTTTCCGAAATGACCTCGTTTCAAGAACCGCGTCGTGTTAATGCCTATACGTTTTCCCAATACAGCTAACCTAGTACTGGAAGATACGGTGGAGCGTATATACCACCAAGACGTGTTTGCAGAACTAAAGCGCGGTCTCTTCCTCATCCGTGGTGAAAACGTCGTCCTGCTAGGTGAAGTGGTACGTATACACCGTTCCTCTAGCCGTGCTGCCCAGACATAATGCGTGGCCACATAGGACCTTGACCAAGAGGATGATGTACCGTTACGCCAAGTCGACTGGTCCGTTCTTGAACCTTACCACAAGAAGGATATTGCCGACAAGAAACACCGAGATGAAGCCAAAGCGCAGGTCCTCTATGAGCGCAAGGGCTTCTGCAAAGAGGGCGGCGAAGGAGATGGCTACTGATCCTGCGATATACTGATGTTGACTCGGGTCACTCGACGACGACGGACAAGTGGCTCCGTTCTTTTACCTTTTTTTGATCTCCTCAGATACACCTTTGCTGCACGAAACTGGCTGGATTCATTACGCCAAGCGGCATTAGCATGATCTTATCTGACTGTTCATGTACATTTCACAACACGACTACATTGGGGGGTATACGTTAATCATATTGAACCCATCTTGTACCATTATCATAAATGTCTAGCAGAGTGTCCGAAAGGCTTAAGATAGTACAAACGAAGAGTCCATTAGGTAGGCAGGTATATGAATGAGGTGGAAGAGAATAAAAAATGGGAAATCTCATGAAGGTCCGTCAGTCTTGCGCTTCTTGCCTTTCTTCGCAATCGTCCCATTGACCTTGGGTTTAGCAATGCCATTAGGGCCAGTGAACGGTTTGACTGGTGCCATCTTGAACTCCGTTATATTGGTAGGCTTGGAAACGTGAGTGTCGTTAACCTCATCCACCTTCTTACGCAGGTCTCCTGCTTGGGTATCGAGAGCTTCCAGAGCGGCTTCCATAGTTCCTTTCTCAAAGTCAATCTCGGCTTGACGTAGTTTCTGCCAACTAAATCAGGAATGATTAGCGTGAAGTAACAGTAAAATGAGAGCACGATAATTTACTTACCCAGCATGACGTTCACATTTGTGGTGTCCCTTGCACCACCACTCCCCATCCTCAACACCTCCATCCACCTGCATGGCATCCTCGTTCTCCCTCTGAGCATCATCATAGCTGTCAAAGACGCTCGCACCAAACTCGGCATATTCATCATGGTCAAAGCAGAGTCTCTGATCCCAGCCACACTCATTGACTTCATCAGCTCTAGCAGCGGCCAATTCGAACAGCCTCGAACGCCAAAGAACAATCTCCATGTCCTTCCGGATCTCGTCACGTTGTCGAGCAATCTTCTCCAAACGAGCAGTTAGTCGCACTAACTGACGTTCCATCCTCGGCTTTGCACTAGGCATGACTTGCTGCTGAACGAGCCCCCGGGACTTGGTTCCGACATTCCCATTCGTCGCTGAGTGAATGCATTGGATAACCACTGCTTCGCGTTTCTCTGCCTTCTTTACGCCTTCCCATAAACCTTCCTTGTCGCCACCCCACGCTTCAATACGGTATTGCATGTGAGCGATCCCGCATTCATCTGAGCAGTATTTAGATAGGGAGCCACGAGCAGGTTTATGACAAGCTTCGGCAGAAGAGGGGTTGAGATGTTTGAGTCCTGCCCAGCAACGTTTCTTGTAAGTAGTCCTAGGAAGGCCCGGATTATCTAGAGGAGTAGCAACAATGAATATCCCAATATTCAGAATTGAAAACGAGATTGGTACACACTTGCGATACATATAGGACATATAAACTGGTCCACGAGATCAACCTCGTCGTCGGGCATTTGAACGCACTGAGTGTGGTACCACTCGTCACAGCTAGCATCAGCACAAATTAACACAAAATACACGACATGAGTATCTCAGTATGAACACATACCGATCACAAGCAATCATGACCCTATCCTCGTCGTAAGGTGTTTTGCAAACACAGTACAATTTATCATCCACCACGGCCTCTTCCTCAGGTTCAGGTGCACCCTCCTTTCCAACTTCCCCAGGCATGACCGAGGTCGATCTCGACCGTGAGGGTGCTCCGCCAACAGCAGCAGTAGCAACACTGGCGGAGGCCGATCGTTTACTGCCACCAGCGTGCCCTCCAACTGCCGGTGATCCTTTCTTTCCACGACCGGTTGTCGTGGTAGAGGTGGTGGTCGAGGATTGGGCCAATGGACTCAGATGAGTAGTGGCTGATTCTGCTAGAGCATCTTTCCCGAGCTTGGGTTTCGTCTTGGAGAGTGTGCCTTTCGGTTTAGCTTTGGAAGTTTGTTTCGTTCGGGCCATTCCCTGCAGAGATAAAGGAGAGAAATGTTAGTTACAGTGAGGAACATCGAGAGCATATATACCGCGTACCTTTTGTGTGCCACTCTCTTTCTTCTTTGCCTGCGTGGACCCAGAACCCGCGCTCTCAGCCCTCCCGCCATTCTTTGACGAAGACAATGCACCTCCGGCAGGTAAAGCGGGAGGTGGCATAGAATCGCGATCGGCCTGGGTACTCAAGGAAGGCGATCGAGCGGACGTGGAATGACTGTGTTTGAGCGAGGCTACTTGGGACGAAGTAGGTTTACGCGAGGTCTCCGGTGGTGGGATAGGTGAACGGTTGGAGGGAGATTTAGATGATGGACGAGGTTTGTCGTCGACGAGACTGAGTAATTCATCGTCTACGTCGTGTTCGGCTGCCCTCCGTTTAGAGGTCGACGTAGCAGACGAAGAAGCAATAAAATCGAATTCCATGTCAATATCAGTATCCAGAGCAGATCGCTGAGCATGAGTTGGAGACATTCCGGGGCCAGACAAGTGTATACGGCGGTCAACGGGAGACATAGTAGCAGGCCGGATGTCAATCATAGGCGGGACAGGACTCTTTGACTCCAATTTGAGCGTAGACAGATGTGAGACAGCCATCCCGACATGGTCTGTACTATTCGAAGAAGTAGACTGGGAAGAGGGATATTGTTGCGCTAACCATTCTTGCGAATCATGCTGGATTGAAACCCGTCTGGGTACGGGCACAGGTGCAGCGTTGTCATAAGCCGTAGTGTCGAACATGGAGGGTTCGTACGGTTGACCAGGTCCAATCAAGTTTGAAGGTGTGACTGGGCTAATTGCCAAGCCCGACTGGTAGCTACCTGACACCGAGACAGAAGGGGAATGGGGTATACCTACGGGGGAGGCGACGACAGGCTCAACGGGAGTAGTCCGCACAGGTGCTCGCATGTCAAAGACGGTAACAGGGCTGAGAGCTCGTGTTCGAACCATAGGCGAATGGGGCGCATGTTGGGCTAGAGGGAGATGTGATTGTTGAGCGGAAGGAGCTGTTTGCTGTTGAGAGTCACTAGACCCACGACGACGCTTGAGGGGAGGTTCGCCGTCATGCAAAGCCCGTGGACTAATCTCTGGAAGACTGTCATTAGGTAGATGTCGGGTTGAGCTAACAGTGGGTGACGTTGAGAGTTGACCATACGTCGTTTCAAGATGATGCTCTGGGTCTGGCGGTGAAGTTGTCTGTTCAGCAGAACGAGACCGTGATCGGGATTGAGAATGTGAAGATGACGAAGGTGATTGGGTATGAGGAGGAATAGGACCTGTCGTCAGAACGGGACTCGCTCCTACAGCTCGCAAACTGGGACTCGAATCTGACCTATTGCTACCCTGCCAGACACTCGGAGGGACATCTACGCTTCCACCACTCAACCTCCTCCGTTCCTCAGTAGCAGCCTGCACCAAAGCCTCCAACGGTCCAAATCCATCCAAGGGTGACTTTGAGATGGTAGGTGAGTTTGAAGGATGCCGCAAGGGCATTGTGGGCGAGTGGGTGGTTGAGCCAAAAGAACGAGAGAGAACTGGTGAGTGACGTGGTGGGGAAGGGACTCGTCTTGAAGTTGGGGAAACTGGAAAAGGCGGGGCCGAACTCGGGGAAGAAAAAGAAGCAGGATGGACAGGTGTTAGACGAAAAGGATTTGCCTGAACCGAGATGGACGACTTGGGGCTTGAGTGAGGCTTGTAGTGTATGTCGAGAGGAGCCATGTATGCTCTGGGGTATTGACTATCTGATGATGTTGAGGTGTGTCGAAACTGAGAGGTTACAGGAAGAGGGGAAGTCTGGGCATGTGTCGGTGAAAGCAGAATATGATGAGGCGATCGAGTCGGAGAGTAGGAGAAAGAAGGGTACTGTCTGGGAGATAGAGTTGGGCCAGATGAAGATGGTGGTCTTACAGGAGAAGAGGTTGTGTATGAACACTCGGGTGGAGACTGATATTGAGCGTCGTGGCGGTCTCCAAGCGAGAGCTGCTGACGATCGAGGTGGGACTGACGTCGGGTGTGCGGGCTAGTCGGTGGATGATAATTATGAGAGGGCGAGTCCCTGTGGTGATCAATTACACGATTTGGGGGCTCATCGTCGACAAACATCTCCATGCGGGTCCTACGCTCAGGAGAATGGGTGCCATGTCTTTCATTCCGACGGGGTATGGGTATGGGTGGGCTCACAACGACTGGTGGATGGAATATACGGTGCTCTGACTGAGAAGGAGAAAGGTGTGTAGAAGTA